TGTGGCGCCAGATCAAGAAACGTGAGGTCAGTACGTCCTGCAGCTGTTTTCATCCCGACCGAAACATTCTCATGTATGACTAAGGGCACAACCTGGCAAGTTGTGCTCACAATTCCCGACGCAGAGGATGATTCGAGAAGCTCGGTCGATGAGGATCACAGCACTGACTCGGATGATGCGAGTGATGTCCCGCAAGCCGTCGCAACTCCGGAAAGGTACGCGTGTTGCCACTACAGTGAACATGCCAAGTTGCTTATTGGCGCGACAGTCTGTCTCCGTCTCCCGTCCCAATGTCCCCCATAGTCGCACCTCAGCCACAGGTCCAGGAAGTGGACGAACAACTCGCGCCACAACTTCCCATACCTCCTGAGGTCGTTGACGAAGTTCCTCCAGCGCGGCCGCTCTCGCCCATGCTCATCCCAAAAAAAGCGTTTCGCGCTCCATCCCAACGCCGTCCACCAGCGCACAAGCAACCACGCGGACGCGTTCAACGACCGGCCTTCCACGGAGACACCACACGGTATCTACGAGGGGCTCCCTGCCTGCCCGCTACCCCTCGCCTCCGCCTCGCTCCGAACCTCTCGGCCCCGCAGCGCAGTACCCGTACATACCGGAAGGCGACTACTCGTGCCGCCCTGGCGGCCCGAAGGTATATGATCTGCTGAACACGATGCCGCTCGAGCAGTATGGTGTCCTCTCGTGGATGATTGTGGACAGGGAGGAGGAGCTGTTCGAGCTCGACGATGTCCGGGACGAGGACAAGGTGATGATGGCGCTGTGGAACCGCTGGATCATGTTGAACCGGTGAGTCGTACATTCGGCCATAGACGTCGGACTGTCCGTCTGAGTGGGCTGGTCAGGCCCGACTTCATCTTCAAGGGCTATATCAAGGGCGTCCTTGCGTTCGTAGACGAGCACTGGCGGATGATCCACCGTGCGGCGGGTTGGGGGGCTTTACGGGCGTTTCTCCTCGTACGTATGTTCACCGTCGTGCGTTCCAGTTAAGCTGATCATATATACCACGAGTGAAGATGCTCGTGGCGAACAATTCTTGACTGCTGCCGAGGTCGTCAAGGTCTTGAACATTATGAAGCCTACACGGGATGGATCATTGGTACAAGAACACTCCATCGGAGGAGCCGGATTGACCAGATACTGTGGTCATCCGCTCATCAGCAGTCTCACATCTAGCGTGTCAATCTCTACAATTGCATTGAGCCGGTACATCTCTAAGAGTCCGTGGTCAGTAGTCTTTACACTTCGGCTTCCCTGGATCAAGAACATCATTCTCCCATCGCTGGACGCGCACCAGGCATCTCATCTTGCTCTGCCTCTTCACGCGAACAATAACGCCGCTGCTGTGCGGCACTAGGGCACTAATCTGCTCATTATCTTCCAAATGTGGAGACAACAGACCGAGGGCGGGTCGGGTGCCGGTGAGCGGTCTGGGAGTGCTGCGCGAATGCGATACTGTTTGCGAGCACTTTGTTGCACACGGTCCCATCTGTCCTCGCGTTTTTGCAGATGAACCGTCCGCTGGGGTCCACGACGTAGTACGAGATATCCGCCCCGGTTGAGTATATTCTATGCAGGTACGGTGTAAGCAGCAGCAGCACTACCAGCGCACGGGATTTTACACACGACTGCACCAGAGGTGTTACTACCAGCTCCGGCAACCAGGCCGGGTGTACCAGGTCGTGACGTATGAACGGCTCATCGTAGTCACTGCGACCCGTTCAGTACGGAGTCTGATCAGTTGGGATGCTATTGGCACCAAAGAGCTCACTTTCAGTCGGCCCATCATGTGCGGGGCGAGTTCGGGGTTCGGGCTATCCGACTTGCCGTCACAAGCCTTCGAGTCACGACTCGGGAGGCAAGGGAGCAGGGCGCGAAGGCGAGAACGCACAAGGCGTCTGGCGTGGCGATAGCATACGCTCGCTGAGACTATCACCCAGTCGCGATGAGCTGAAGTGGGTCATGCAGAGAAGTGCGGCATCATGCGACCCACACCGTTTCCGCCGGCGAGGCAACACTGGCGTGGTCTTGGACGACGATATTGGATACATGATGATGAGCTTGCTGGAGGCGGGTGGGAGAGAACGTTGAATGTTGAACGTGGGACACTGACCGCAATATGCAGTGTACTTTGTAGTCGGCGTCAGAGTGCCAACGCCCGGACACCACCGAGTGCCATCATGTCACGGTCAACGGTTCCCTACCTGAGAGCTCGATCGTAGCGCAGATAGAGACGATGGCCATCCACGCAATGAGTACACTGTAGCGGAACCAGAAACCTGTTTAGTTCGTTTGAGAACCCTCCGGACTGCAATATCAATGTCGCGTTAGCAAGTACCATTGAGTATGCCTGTATGTAAGGTGCTATAACACGATCTGAGCATGGTGAGCTAGCCGCCCCTTTCCCGCAAGGACCATTCTGACAGCGTGAGAGCTGTACTGTTACTTAGACCGTAGGCGCGGCGATCCTTCGCGTATGTAGATACGGAGTCGACCACTTGGATACTAAGCGTCACACAGCACGGCGTATACAGCTCGGCGCTCGGCGCTCAGCGCTTCGAGATGGCACTCAGACAGAGAACTCCTCAACTTCGGGCAGATTTCGCAAATAGGGTCCCACCCATACGCAAAGTAATAGCGTACAACTAGATAATGTAGTATCGCTGCGTAAGTCATATCGTCCTAGAGGGGCGCCAGACACGAGAGGAGCTCACACAGAAGGAGGACGTCTTCAACCGCGTATTAAATGACGACCGACGATGCATATACAACATATACATCTGTGCAAGTCGATCAGTACGGACCGCACTGGACCAACGCTTCACATTTAACTCACGGAACGAACACAGACACACGCGCGCTCAGCCAAGCGAGCACCTCCCCTCATTCTTGTGCCTCTCCAAACTGTCCCGCCTCGAGAACCAATCCCCACAGCCCTCGCACTGGACCTGGAACAGCTGCAGGTGCACCGTCGCGACGTGCTTCAAGGGCCAGCTGAAGCACGTCTTTGACGTCCTTCCCGCACCTGTCAGTGGGACTCCCGTCCTTATTCTTGCCTTCGTCGACCCAGTCGCAGACGAGCTTGCCCATGCGGTTCCTCTGGAGCTGGTGGAAGTATTCGAGATGGCGCTGCAAGTTCACCCCGGCTTCGAGTGCGACTGGGGCGAGGTTGGGGCACCGTCCACCGAAGAAGCAGATGATGGGCGCGGCTGTGTTCGCCGCGACGGGCAATTCGCTGTATGCCGGGGAGTGTGTAGGTTCGATGATGCGACGGCAGGAGTCACGAGGTACTCACGTCACGGCAGGTGGATGGCCGAAGGGAGCTTGCTCATCCAAACGAGGATACGTCTGTGCTGGGGCGTGTTGCGCATTCATATATTGAGTCATCTGCCACGGCCTATATGCCGAGAGCCATTAACGGGATGCTGTCTCTGATTATGAAGGACTATAGCTACGTACTGCGGTTGTTCTGCCGGCAGGCCGCTGATGAAGTGCGGGTCAGTCGTCGCCGGAACGACTGGCATGTAACCAGCAGTGTTTGCGTACGTCGCCCTGTGAAGCGCACATCAGCGTAAGGACACCTAGCTGTCAGGCAATGGAGCATTCACCCGTCAGCACCACCGCCCGGTACAGAGCCAGTGTATGAAGTCGTACTCGACGACGCATCATCCATGTAAAATAGTCGCGAACAAGGACAGCTGAAAGCGATAGCTTGGTTGTAGGTACAGTCGTATTCCCATGCCTCGATGCTGTTATGGTTCGGGCAAGACATGTTGGGATGGGTTGGGGGAGTTCTGTGAGGCCTCGACCCACGAGAGGTCCGCCGTAATGCCCGTCGAGCTGAGCAGGGTCTGCGCGCACCCAGCGAGCCCGGGAACCGTGAGTAAGTAAGGGGAGAGAGGACTTGAAAGCGTACCTCTGTATACGAGCCCGGGGGAGGTAGCGTCAGCCGTGGGCGGAGAATACGAGCAATATAAAGGAACCGGAAGACAAACATGAGGTCGGAAGATGAGTGTATTCGAGTAGGACCCCGCCGCGGGCAACGCACTTGTATTTGGATTCGATCTTGGTGTGGCCATAAACCTACCAGATGCGTGCGCTGTCCGATATGCGGCCATACATATGTTCCGAACACCTCACGTATGTAGTGGATATTGGGGTTCTTCGCACACTGATGCGAGGAGGGGCTTGCTCAAAGATGTCTAGAAAGGCATCGATACTCGAGCTGACCCGGCGTCCGCGAGGACACATCGTCGTGTGAGAAGGCGACCTGCATCTTGAGCCTAGAAACCTGTTTACACTCAAGGCGAGAAGAGGTTGTTATGGTCGTGTGTTTTCCGGGGATGCCCATCCAAAGACACAAGGGTCGTGAAAGCTAGTGGGGAGGAGAGAGGTCTTATCGGGGGCGGTGAGCCACGACTCAGTCTCCGTGACAGCGGGCGCCAGTTACCACATAATAGTAGGGGATACCTGGGGGAACGCAGTGCATGGCCACGAACACCGCGGCCGCAAATGCGCTCACCGTCTTCCGTGTGCGTCAGCGAGGCTTATCTACGACAGTTGGTGAACAGAAGTTCGCGGCGAGTGGTTCCCAGAATAAGTACATAACTGAGCAGAACTGAGGACGTAAATATGATGGAGGCTACTCAGAGGAACCAACTGGGAACGGTCGAGCATCGGTCGAGAGATGGATCTGATCAATTTCGGTCGGACGCGCGCCCACAAAGCGCCACTATAGCTTAATTATGTCCGGCTCCTCCTTCTCTTTCATGCATTCATGTTCGGCGACAATAATGGACTCAGGACTCAGCCCCCCCTTCCCAACCCCCCATTTCGTCTCCATCCAATGCCCCAGATGTTGGGGGTGTGCGGTGGGTGCGAGCCCCTTCTATCGGATGCGTAAGAGATCACTGTTATCCGGCCTTCTATCACAACGATTGTACGTGCATTGCACTGGCATTCATCATTACAACTACAGTGTTTACACCGCCTTCCTCTTCTAAATACTTCCGATGGATGCAGCACGCCCGAATGCGGCGACGCTGATCAGGTTGAGTTGTACGTCGGCTCCTTTGCAGCACCGGCCTGAGACTTCGATTGGCGCTGCACCGGATATGATCAGTGTAGTGTTGTACGAATCGCTGCAGTATCGAACAGCGCACCTTGGTTCGTGCCTTGGAGAGGTGAACCTCATTCTTGTGCCGTGTGAGAGCGTCCGTCCGACCGAATTCCTTTTGGCACGTGGAGCAGACATCGGGCAGATCGTGGCTCGCGGCGGAGACGGCAGACGGTGCTGGCGCAGAGATGACCGCAGGATTAGAGTCGCTCTCCCGCTTCGCTGCCACACCTCGTCGCCTCCCAAGTAGACGTCTCGGCACCACAACACGAGACGGAAGGAGCAGAACGCAAGTCTACGAAGCAAGTACTTGACAGAACTCAAACTGCACCCTGGCGTCGGCGAACACGGTCAACCAGGAGGTCTACGCGCGATGCCCCGGCCGGGTCGAGCGAGCTGTGCATAGCAGGGGTTGATTTGGGTGGAGTTGCAGCTTCTACGTCATGAGTATGTCCACCTGCGGAAGGTGGAGAATATCCGCACCGTGTCGGACACGCCGGCAGTTGGAATGGCGGTGAGAGCTAATCGACAGTCTCGACGACAGATCGCACTTATCACCATCGATAGTAGGGGCCGAGGCCCCAGGCACGACGACACCAGGCGTTGAGCACATCTGGGAGAGCGAGCCTTTGTCGGTGAGTGACTGCTGTAACATGGATCTATGCCACGGCCGGTCAGTTTGTTATGATAGCAGTCGTGGCTGATTGGTTTGCGAACAGCACAATGTCGTAGCAATCGCAACTTGCATTCGCTGATTGGTGCCGGCGATGTTCCGTCTGCACCGGGGCTGCAGAGCATAATGGGTTCTGTCAAGGTTCTGTCCTCGAGTCCAAGTTCCGACTCCCCGCAATCATTTACGTGATCGCACGCTGGTTCTCGCCTACCTGCGTAACTGCTATCCAGAGATCTCTCGGCAGTCGCAACAGTCGCGCGTGAGCGAATGCGTCCTCCGCACCAGGCAGAGGTGCGCGGGCCTCGAATTCCCAATTGATCGAGATACAATCGTCGAGACGGGATCTTCCGCCCCTGCGGAAAGTGATAGTGTACAACTGGATATTGTAACATCACTGCGTCAGTCATTTCGTCCGGGAGGGTATGGCAGACACGAGAAGAGCTCACATAGAGGGAGGGCTTCTTCACCCACGTATTACACAGCGGTCTTGAATGACGCGTACATATCTTAAACATCTGGGCGAACCGATCAGTACGGTCCGCGCGGGGCCAGCGTCTCACGTTTAACTCACGAATATGCGCGCGCTCAACCAAGCGAGCACCTCCCCTCATTCTTGTGCCTCTCCAAACTGTCCCGCCTCGAGAACCACTCCCCACATCCCTCGCATTGGACCTGGAGCAGCCGCAAATGCACCGTGGCGACGTGCTTCGCCAGCTGGAACTCGTCCTTGACGTCCTTCCCGCACCTGCCAGTTCCGGGCCCGTCCTTATCCTTGCTTGCATCGACCCAGTCGCAGACGAGGTTGTCCGCGCGATCTCTTGTGAACTCATGGAACGCTTCGAGGTGGCGCCTAACCCCGGCGACCTTCTGGAGGAGCATGTCTGCGGTGAGGTGGGGGCACGGTTCCCCGAAGAAGCAGATGATGGGCGCTGCCACGGCCGCGGCTGTGTTCACCGTGTCAGGCCGTACGGGCAATTCGCTGTATGCCGGGGAGTAAGTTCGATGATGCGATGGCAGGGGTTACGAGGCACTCACGCCGCGACAGGTGGCTGGCCAATTCCAGCTTGCGCATACACATTTTGATTGTAATACGGTACGGTCCGGGCCAGCGCTTCACGTTTAAGTCACGGAACGAACAGAGACACGCGCGCGCTCAACCCTGCAAACACCTCCCCTTTTCCTTGTGCCTCTCCAAACTGTCCCGCCTCAAGAACCACTCCCCACATCCCTCGCATTGGACCTGGAGCAGCCGCAAATGCACCGTGGCGACGTGCTTCGCCAGCTGGAACTCGTCCTTGACGTCCTTCCCGCACCTGCCAGTTCCGGGCCCCTCCAATTCCTTGCTTGCATCGACCCAGTCGCAGACGAGGTAATCCGCACGGTCTCTTGTGAACTCATGGAACGCTTCGAGGTGGCGCATAACCCCGCCGACCTTCTTGAGGAGCATGTCTGCGGTGAGGTGGGGGCACGGTCCGCCGAAGAAGCAGATGATGGGCGCGGCTGTGTTCGCCGCGACGGGCAATCCACTGTATGCCGGGGAGTGAGTAAGTTCGATGATGCGACGGCAGGAGTTACGAGGTGCTCACGTCGTGGCAGGTGGATCATGATGGCCGAAGGGAGCTTGCGCATATACATCGTGATACGTCTGCACTGGGGCGTGTTCAAGTTGCACATTCACATTTTGGAATACGTGAGATCTGTATACCAAAGACCATGAACAGGAAGGTGTCTGTGCGGTCGGTGATGCGACGATAGGAAGTAATAGTACTCACGTCGTGACCAATGGGCGGTCCAAGAGAGATTGCTCGTACACATCAGTTGAGTGTGCAGAATACGTCTGTGCTGGAGCGTATTGCGTATTCGCATCTTGAGTCATGTACGGCCTACGTACCGAGAGTCATTATAGGAGGCTGTCTCCGAGAATAACGGACTACGTGCGGAGGTTGCTCTGCGGGCAGGCCGCTCATGAAGCGTGGTGGGTCGATCGTCGCCGGGACGCCTGGCATGTAACCAGCAGCGTTTGCATACGTCGTCCTGTGAAGCGCACATCAGCGGAAGGACACCTAGCAGGCAATGGAACATTTACTCGTCGGCATCGCCATCCGGTACAGAGCCTGTGTCTGCAGCCGTACTCGACGGCGCAATGTTCATCATGATGTTTAGATCCGAGTCTAGTACTAGTAGCGAACAAGGACAGTTGATAGCGATATCTAGCTTGTAGATACAGTCGTGTTCCCATTCCTCGAGGCTGTGATGGATCGGGCAAGACATGTTGGGATAGGTTGGGGGAGTTGTGTGAGGTCTCAATCCACGAGGGGCCCTGTGAGGTATCCGGGACGTCGGCGCGTTGGCGTGGGTGGGCGTAGCGTCGGCGAGGTCGGAAACACACGGGAAGTCGATAGTCGGACGCGGACACAGGTGAGTAGACAACGTCCTCGTATCGGAGCTTGGGCCTTTGCCCGTCGTAGGTACTGTGTTTATACATGAGTGAACGTGGGCCAATCGAGCGAACCACTGGCAGGCATATGATGTAAGCGAGAAGAGTCAGAGAACAGCCATGGCAGCACAGGTCGCCACCCCAAGGCACAGGTCGCCACTCCGATGCCACTCCGAGCATAGCATGTACAGATTAGGACTGGGTCTAGAACGAGAACGGAAAAGGAAAAGGAAATATCTATTCGGACGAGGGTCGGGCGCTCGTGCGATGTATCCCGGCGCTTACGCTTACGCGTCCCTAGGTACAGGTCCGCTGTGATGCCCGTCGAGCTGAACAGGGCCCGCGCGCATCCAGCAAGCCCGGAGACCGCGAGTAAGTAGGGGGGGAGAGGATTTGAAAGCATACCTCTGTATGCAAGCCCGGGGAAGGTAACGCCAGCCGTGGGCGGAGGACACGGTCGAGAGAGAAAGGAACCACAAGACGAACGTGAGGAAGAAGGAGAGTGTATTCGGGTAGGACTCCGGGAAATGCACTTATATTTAGGTCCGATCCTACTGCGGCCATAAACCTGCCAGGTGCATGCGAGGTCTGATGTGCGGACATACATATGTTCGGAACACCTCCTCACGTGATGAATATGTGGAATTTCGTGCTCTGCCGCACACTGACGTGAGGAGAAGATGTCTCGAAAGTAGGCGGGTAGGGTCTCGATGCTCGAGCTGACCCGGGCGTCCGCAGGGACGCACCATCGTGTGAGAAGGCGACCTGCATCTTGAGCCTAGAAATCTATTAACTTTGGAGGCGAGAAGAGGTTGTAATAGTCTTGTGTTTTCCGGGGATGCCCATCCGAGGGCACAAGGTCGTGAAACCTAGTGGCGAGGAGAGAGGTCTTATCGGAAGCGGTGAGCCACGAAGGCAGGAGTCGCCCGAGGGAGAGGCAAGTACTGCTCTATCCAAGCTCTATCTCCGTGACATCGGGCGCCAGGTACCACATGATAGTAGGGGAGATCTGGGGAAACGCAGTGCATGGTCGCGAACACCGCGGCCGCAAATGCGCTCACCGTCTTCCGTGGGTGTCAGCGAGGCTTATCTACGACACTTGGTGAACAGAACTTCGCGGCGAGTGATTCCCAGAATAATAGTATCTCAATTACACTGATGCCGACTCCAACGCAGCGCTGCCAGGAGATTCAAATCCAGACGCTTCCGGGGCTCGCGGCATAGGCAGGAAAGATTCACCGCAAAGGGCCCACCAGTTGCAAACGATTGACTCGTCTGCTGATGGCACCAAGACATGGGCGCCCGCGAGTCGATGATGTCGAAGGGTGTGGCAGTGGACGGTCACCGTCGGATAGACTCAAAGGATGTCCGGGACGCGTAAAGTTGCGGGATAAAAAGAACATTACTGAGTAGAACTAATGATGTAGATGATGCAGGCGACTCGGAGGAACCAAGGGAACGGTCAAGGAACGGTCGCTGACTTTCCAAGGAGACATGGATCTGACGAGCTAATCTACGGCGCGGTCGGCCCCGGAGCCTAAGGCTCGATTCGGTCGGACAGGCGCCCACAAAGCGCCAAGTCCGGACAGTACTTGGATGCCTTTCCGCAGGGTTTTCAGGCGCTGGTAAAGCTGGAGCGGACATCGAACATCGCCTGGGGCGCGAGGATAGCGAAGGTCGTTAAACCGCAGCGACGACCTATAATCCATGATGTGCATAACAGGATGTCGGAGGCAACCGCAGTGATGAGACAGGTCGTGAGAGCCAACGACTCATCAGCAAATCTGCGCGGGTTCTGAGGGCGCCTGAGGGATCTGAGGCGTCTGATCCGGTGCCTGAGAGCTCTATCGCATCTGACGCAATCGGGCGTCTATGGCCGCGCCGTTCGTCCCTCTCCGTCTGCTCGTTCCATGCTCCTCCTCTCAGAGCGACGCAGTCCACTCAGACCCGTCAGACCCATCAGACCCTCCAGGCGCGACCTCAAGCCACCCACATCGAATCTCCCCAAGTCCACCAGGCGCCTGCCCTAAACTGCGCCACGCTGGCACCTCGCCACGTCATCGTTCTCTCGCCTCTCTGTCGTGTCACTCGCCTTTCAAGTTCCCCACCTCTTGCGCTGTTCATCGCTGACACGCAGCGGCTGCAGAAGCCTGTCGCGACGCGCGAGGCGTCCGGAAGGGTGCACAAGCGCCAGCTTGCCCGCAGCCACGATGTGCGGCTACGATGCACAGCGAGCGGACACCATCGCGAGGGCCGCGCCTCCCACCTCCGCCATGCCTCGCTCGCCTCCCTTCTCACCGCCTCTCCACTCGTTTACATCTACATACACCGACCCTCGGGCAGTCCGCAGGATCGCAGTGCATCGGCCTAATGCATGAAGATGAGCAGAACATCGCGGGGAGAGGCCGCATCGTTGTGACGTGGCCCGGCCAGCGCGAACCCCGCGATCCAGATTCTATGCCGAACAGCATCGCGCGTCGGGTGGACAACGCTCGGAGGAAGCAGAGCTGAGACAGAATAAGTAAGTTCCCTTTCCACTCACTCTCCCGCGTTGCCCTGTATGTACGTCACCTGTCGCCCACTGCCCGCTGCCGGCTCATACTGGCAGATGCTGGCTGAGTCACACTCAAAAAACCCCGCCATGCTTCACCGACATGCACCCCTATACGCCGGTTTTGCGCGCCCACAGTGCCGCTGTAGGTGGGCTGCCTACCTCGTCTCGGACGCATCAGAAGTGTTCCGAGGACGTGACGACCCCGCACAAGAGCGGGTTCGTCACCTCGTGCTCTATGCCCGCCGCCACGTCACCGCCTTCCATCATCGCGCCACCCCGCCCTCTATGCCTTGCAGACGCACCGAACACATGCCGAACACCAGACGACCCCGCATCACAGCGGGGACTCGGACGTCCATTCGCATCGTACCGCCCTCCCCACCACCTCCTCTCTCTCCCTGCTTACTACCGCCCTCCCTACCCCGTCACGCGTCTCGCACGCATTAAAAGTGTGTCGCGGTCTTGGCACAAACGACGGGCGACCCGCAGAAGAGCGAGGCCGTCCGATTCTGTCTGTTTGCCACCGCCTTCCCAGTCCGCCCCTGCTGTCCCAGCGTCCCAGGCATCCCGGCGCGACAACAGGACATCTGGTCGCAGATTCGGGCCCTCCCTGCCACGTCACTGCCTTCTCGCCATGCCTCAGCCCTCCTTCCTCGCCACCCCGCGCTCTGCAGCTCGAGGACGCGCCAAACACATGCCGAGCACGCAGCATGTACGCATGACGACCCCGCGGAAGAGCGGGGTTGTTTATTCATGGCTGCCGCCTTCCCAGTCCTCCCCTGCCGTCCTACCATCTCTCGGACGCGTGCGATGCGTGCCGAGGACCTACCGCACATGCCAGGCGACCTGGTACCACAACAGATCATCCAGTCGTGAGCTTGGGCCCTCCGCGCCACGCCACCGCCTTCTCGCCCTGCCACAGCCCTCCTACATCACCCCGCCGCCCTCTACCATGCGGCCGGCGAGCGTGTGGCGAGCGAGCAGACGGCGGGAGAGCGGGCGAGCGAGTGGGCGGCTGAGCGAGCGGGCGGGCGGGCGAACACGACTGACGAAT